GAGGTAGAGGCAGCTTCACCCCGCCTGTGGCCAAAAGGCAATACAAATAGTCTGGGTGATCTGCGGAAGGGGGTGGTCTTCTCCATGTAGATAGATAATGCTCAAACCACATCCAGAGTGTGCCAAACTTCTTCTTCAGGAAAAGAGGGATTTGGATAGAAGGATGGTAGAACAATTTCCTGGTTCAAGTGAAACTTAGATATCCCTTTAGGTATAAAGTCCGTTCCTAGTCTGAGGACTAAATGGTCCTGAAGTATCCACGTATAAGGTACTTCGCAAGATAATGCCTGGAGCTAACATATCCGTCGTGCGGAAGTAACTGCCACCAATACGAGTACCTTTTGAGTGAGTACCAGCAAAGGAGCTTGGTCAAGTGGTTCAAAGGGAGACCTAGTCATGGCCTTCAAGACCAGAGGTAGGTTCCATGCAAGCAGAAATACCTTCAGAGGAGGCCGGATCTTTATTGCCGCTTTAAGAAAACAGATGACCAATGGTTCTAGTGCCCATCGGGTACCTGACAAGCAGATAGAGCTGATACCTGGATTTTCAGAGTGTTGTTGCTAAAGCCTTTGTCCAGGCCAGCCTGAAGGAAACAGAGCACTGAAGATAATGCCAGAGGTTTAATCACCACCTGGTGTTCTTGAGCCCTGCAAACAAAGGTATGCCAAATCCTATAATATGTGGAGAAAGTGGATATGTTACGAGACCTCAGGAGAGTTTTAATGACTGCGTCAGGCATGCCAGCGTTCATCAGAGCTTCCCGCTCAATCTCCAAGCCCCCAACTTGAGGGTTAGGGGGTTTGGGTGTAGCAGTGGTCCTTGGGATAGTAAATCTGCCTGGAACGGGAGTACCCTCGGAGGTTCCCGACTCATCCGTCTCGCCATAGGGAACCAGGGTCGCCGGGGCCAGAATGGGAGGATGACGATGACCTCTACCTTCTTCTTCTGAACCTTCTTCAGAGTTGGGTATATGAGAGGTATTGGAGGCAACACATAGGCCAGAGTGAACATCCAAGGTTAGGATAGAGCATCCTGCCCCCTGGCTCTGGGATTGACCAGTCTCGAGAAGAAGGCTTCGACCTGGGTATTCTGGGCCGTTGCCATGAGGTCTATCTCTTGGGTTCCCCAAATCAAAGACAGCTCCTGGAATAATTTGGAGCTTAGATGCCATTTACTTTTGTCTATGGTCACGCGGCTCAGGTAGTCCGCCATGGTATTCTGAATCCCCGAAAGGTGTACCGCAGAGATACCCTGAATAATTTTCTGGCACCAACTCATGATGGGCCGTAGTTCCTTCATCAACAGTTGGCTGCGAGTACCGCCTTGATGAGAAACATAGGCCACAGCCACCTGGTTGTCGGACTGGACTCGTATCCACCTGTTCTTCAGAATCCCCCTGAAGTGTATGAGAGCTCTGTGGATGGCCCGTAATTCCAAAACATTCCCCGGAAGAACCGACTCCTGTCTGTTCCATCGACCTTGAGTCATCCGCTCCTGACAGTGGGCACTCCAACCATGAGCGCTGGAATCTGTTGTTAATAGGACCCAATCGGGTTCTATCAAAGGAAAACCTCTTTCCAAATTCACCCTTCTTAGCCACCAGACCAGGTCCATTTTGACTACATGAGAGATCTTCAAGGGTTGATTCCAATCCATAACCTGCGGTTGAACTGGTTCAGGAACGACCTTTGAGGAACTCTGAGATGCCACTGGGCCCACCTGACTAGTCCTATAGAAGAGGTCAGATTGCCCAGAAGTTGCGAGTATGTTCTTGCCGTTATCACACGAAGGTGCAGAATCTTGTAGATGGAGCTTAAAATCCTCTGTATCCTTTCCTGTGAAAGGGAGATAGAGATCTGGAGTGTGTCGAAGTTCGCCCCAAGAAACGTAATCTTCTGGGATGGAATGAGGCTGCTTTTTTGTAGATTCACTAACCAGCCGAATCGATTAAGTTCTGATAGCACAAATTCTCTGTGAAGCACCGCCGTCTGGACGTTTGGTGCTACCAGCACAAGGTCGTCCAGGTAATGGAACAGAGAGACTCCCTGAATCCTCAGCCTTTCTATAAGAACAACCAATACCTTTGAAAAGGTTCTGGGTGCTGTGCTCAGGTCAAATGGAAGTGCTCTGGATTGGAAGTGGTCTTCTCCTATAGCAAATCGGAGAAAACGATGATGTTCCTTGGCTATCGGGATGTGATAATAGGCGTGCCGTAGGTCAATGGATATGAGCCAATCTGCCTTCCGGATAGCTGGGGAGATGGATCTTATAGACTCCATCTTGAAGGATCTGATAAGAAGTCTCCTGTTGATGCTCCTCAAGTCCAGAATAGATCTCCACTTGTCCTTGTCATTCTGGACTAAGAACAGAGGTGAATAGTGCCCCTGGAATCGTTCCTCTTCTGGCACTGAAATGATGACCCTTTGGGACCTGAGGTTCTGAACATAATCTCCCAGAGCCTTGCTTCTGCCCTCGTCCTTGGGCAGACATGTGGGAAGGAAGAAGTTGCCCCTGGGTCTTCTGAGGAATTCCAATCTGTATCCTCTTTGAATTATAGCTTTGACCCAGGCATCTTCTATGTCCTGTGCCCAAACCTTCCAGAAGAGGGAAAGTCGAGCACCAACCTCTGACGGATAGTCAGAAGTTCTTGCCTCCATGAAAGGAAGGGTTTCTATCTCGGGAAGAACTTGAAATATATGATTGGCCCCCATGCCAATTATTACTCCTGTTGAACTCTCTACCTGGTCAGTAGCTAAGAGCATCCCGAAAATATTGATCCCTCGGAGGTCGCTTATCTGACCAAGAGGAGCCTGGTCTCCTGGTTCTTTTCTCCTGGGGTAAAAAGACCTTACGCCCTTCAGCAGCTTTTTTAATGGATTCCTCTAGGGTCTTTCCAAAGCTCGCCCTCAAAAGGTATGGAACATAAATTGGCCTTGGAAAAGGAATCCACACCCCAATAACGCAACCATAAAGCTCTCCTAGCTGCTACCGAGAGGGCCATGGTGCGGGAGAAGATCCTGGTGATTTCCAGGGCAGCTTGAGCAACAAATTCCGTAGCTATCCGAAGGTCGTAGATAGAATCCCTGAGGTTTGTTCTCTTAATTCCTCTTTCCACATCTGTATCTAGGTCTTTTATCCAACTTTTCATGGCTCTGGACACCGCCGTAAGACAAACAGCTGGATGGCATCCAGTACCTCCCGCTGAATATATCTTGGAAAGATCAGAATCCAATTTCTTATGCATTGGTTCCCACAAGGAGGCTGCACTATCCAGTGGTAGACTAGTTCTCCTAGCAACCCTAGAGATGGTAGCATCAACTTTTGGAGGTGTCGTCCATTTCTTTGAAGTTTTCTCCTCCAAAGGTTAAAGCCTGGATAGTCTGCCCTGAAATGGAACCTTTTTATCAGGTTTTTCCCATTCTTCGGTAACCACCTCCTTAATGGCTCTGTGAAGAGGGAAGGAAGGCTTCTGCTTCCTAAGATCCGCAAAATGTTTATCAGAAACTTCAGGTTTAGGAAGATCTTCTGGTAATTCAAGGGTCTTTCTTACCTTCAGGATGAGTTTATCCACCGCCTTGGTGTCTAGAACTCTTCAGCCGAATCCTGGTATTCTGAGACAGATGAGTCTGAGGATACCAGTCTCTGTCTTGGTCTTTTCTGAGATGCCCTGAGCCACCTCCTGTCTGATCCAAGTCAGGATATCTGGTGACTGATTGGGTGTTACGGCTGCTGGAGTGGCCACCTTCTGCAAACAGTTTAAGCACAGCTGTTTGCCTTCCAATGCCTTCCCATCACACCCTGCACAGGGGTCTGACTTCTGTCTCCTCTTTCGTGGGGGAGATGATATAGACCGTTCTCTATTACTAAAAGTAGTATAAGTAACTGTTAGTAGATGGAGAGTAAAAACCTCATTAATGTTATATATAAAATATATATGGAGTCCTACTCACCTGGATTCTGCTGAACAGGGTAAAGGGTTCCTACTAGTAGAGCTCATAATGGGCTAACTAGAAATGATTCCAGAGTCTTAGCTTTTCTTTTAGATAATTGTAAAATAACTGAATCCACAACAACCTCTTCGAGTTCCAGCTACTTTTAAATAGTACCTGCTATTCACTAACCTGTTTCTGGTGTTTCCTGCAAATTACCTGTCATTTTCGGGTTTTGCCCATAGTAAAGATGGCCGCCGCGACCTTACCCAGACCGCATTCTGGTGCCAAGTGAACCAAGCGCATTGCGCATGTGCGGGCATCCTATCCAAGCTCCTGACCTGGGAGAACCGAGGATGGAAAGCCAGGGACCCTAATTGCAGTTAGGACGACTCTTTAAGGTCTCAGGCAGCCTGGGACTGTCCTGGTAAGGATAAAAAACGGGTAAAAGGGGAATAACATAGGAAGGAGATTGTAGGGATTAATTATATTATACACTGTGCACTTTACAGCACACTGCAATAGAAATGGTGAAAGGAGTACTTAAAATTATAGAGGGAGCTAAAAAAAAAAGCTCCCTTCCTAAGGGCTGTAAGAACAGGAAAAAGACTGAGGGTCTCTTCTCTGGATCCTCCTTTTATAAGAATTTGTTTAAACCTGTCCTATTGGCTGTAAGGGGAGGAGCTAACCCATGTGTATATGCTGCCATGATTAGCCAGGAAATGTATGTATATTATGTATATATATATAATAGATATATACACATATATTTTATATATATATATATATATATATATATATATATATATATTTGTGCTCGGAATTTAATATGTAATGGATAATGTCAGAGATAAAAGTTGGTTGTGGTGTGCCGAAACCAACGTCCGAGTGGGCCTGTAAATAAAAGAGGGCCCACCAAGGAGAATTGTATGTACTAAGGGTGTTGGTGGGTGGGGATCACTTGAACTCGAACGTCAGAGGTGAGTAGGGGCTGGGTGTTTAAGTAGGGGACTTACTCCTCCCACAAATTCAGGCCTAATGGCCTTTTAACTTGTGCTCGGAATTTAATATGTAATGGATAATGTCAGAGATAAAAGTTGGTTGTGGTGTGCCGAAACCAACGTCCGAGTGGGCCTGTAAATAAAAGAGGGCAAAGAGAAATTCGAAAAAAACACACTTTATTGCATTTTGATTACATGACTAAATTCCTGAAGGCTTGGCGAAGTTCTCTTTCTGGCCGTGGAATATACGTATTGTATATAGAGGACTTCCAGCGGCCCAGTCTCTTTATGATGTGGACCGGTGTGTTAGTGCTAGAAGCTGATGAAGCGGCCCCTATGCGAAAGGAATGCCCGGAGAATGAAGTTGGGTTGTAACCCAATTTTCCCAGTAAGATTCTGACATATGTGGTGAATTTTGCTGTAGTGAGTGGGTGCCCTTGCAGTTGTAGTAGTGGTGAGTCTGGTAGGTGTGTGCTATAAGCTGACCGTAACGTGTCTAGTGTCTTAACTGGACACCAAGCATTATCTGTTGGAAAGAGAGGAATAATAGTGGGGTGTAGGGACTGATTTGTTTTGGTAGATGGGATTGTGAGAATGTAATAGTCGTCTTTTTTAGTGAGTTGTGAGGTTTTGAGGCTGTGAGTGGTATCCCCTTGACAAACAACAGTAAATTCCCTAGGCCTTAAGAACCCATAAAAAGCCAAATAGATTGCAGATTTGATCACCAGGTTAGTGTTGGGATCAAAAGGGGATTCGTCGAGGAGGTTGCTCAGCAATCTAAAGATAGGCCCATCTATAGGTAGTCTGGCGGTGATAGGTGGAACTGATACTTTAGAGATCCCCTTTAAGATTTTCTTTATGGGGTAAGATGATAAAAAGGGGGTGTTGTTAGGGAAATTTGTGAGGCTGTGGTGCTGCACCCCCGTGAGGTATAATTTTATGGTGTTGTGGGAAAGTTTTAGATGTAAATGGCAAAAAGAGGCAAAAGCCACCATGGTTTGGGTTGAGAAATCACCTTGTAATCCAAACTCAGCAGTAAATTTGTTGAAAATGGTGAGTGCCCTACTGTAGGTGATAGTAGTGTTTGGTGACAGTGCTTGGTGCGTAAGTGTCCTAGCGTGGTGCATCAGTGTGTTTAATCCAAGATTAGCTCGTGAAAATTCGGTGTTCTGGATGGTTGATGGTGGGCTGATGGGAGTGCCTGGAAAAACACCTGAAATTGAGATCGAGACAGAGCGTCAGCGGCCGTGTTGTGAATACCCGGGATGTGAAGGCAAATTAGGTGGAACTGGACGGTTGCTGCCAACCAGGTCAGCTTGCGAATCAGCCTCATAATGGTAAGAGAGGATGAGCGCCCTTTGTTGATGATATCGCAAGCTGACGAGTTGTCGGAATAACATTTTACTGCCTTGCCGGACCAGAGGTGACCCCAAGTGTGTGCGGCTGCCACAATGGGGTAAATCTCAAATAGAGCTGAAGTTTCTCTAAACCCCGGCAAGGCATCCGTCTCAGCTGGCCAGTGACCCCTAAACCAGTGATTACCAAATATGGCTGCAAAACCCGTGTTGGCTGCCGCGTCGGTGTAGATGCAGGGAGAGGAGTCTGAGAGGGGGGGAATAAACATGGAGATACCATTCCATAGGGACAAAAACTGCCCCCACATGCCCAGGTCAGCTTTGGCGTGCTGGTCCAACGCAATTGGGCAGGCGTCCGGTACCCCGTGAAGCAGGAAAAGGAGCCTGGACACAAAAGATCTGCCCTGCGGAACGATGCGCATTGCAAAATTCAGGGACCCCAATAAGGACTGAAGTTCTTTCCTGGTGCATACATCGCTCCGCAGGAACCTGTCTATTTCCCCTCTCAGGCGGATGAGTTTTTCAGTGGGAAGGCTGGCTCGGAAGGTGGCAGAGTCTAGCTCTATGCCCAAGAAAGTGAGTTTGGTGGTGGGGCCAATTGTTTTAGCAGGAGACAAAGGAACACCGAGAGTGGAGAAAAGTGCAGAGGTGCTGAGGATATCGGTGGGTGTGTGTGTGCTAGGTTCTATGATGAGGAAGTCATCCAAGTAGTGAATAACAGCGTGACACCTAATAATGTTCAGAAGCAGCCAGCATAGCGTTTCCGCGAAAATATCAAAGAGTTTGGGGCTGCTTCTGGAACCGAAAGTGAGGCGCGTGGAAAAATAGTACCAGTTACGCCATTTAACACCGTGCAAGTGCCAAAGTGATGGGTGTATGGGCAGTAGTTTGAAAGCGTTGGTAATGTCTGTTTTGCTAAGCCAAGCGTTGCTGCCAGTTGATATGATGGTTTGTATGGCGTCGTCTATTTTAACGTATTGTAGTGAGAATTCGTCTGCGGGAAAGAGTGCGTTGATGCTAGGAACAAAAGAGGAGTGCGGTGCCGATAAATCAATAATCATACGTTTTTTATTTGAATATTTGTGAACTGCTATACCAATAGGGTTAGTGCGCCAGGAGGAAAACGGTGAGGAGGTGAAGGGGCCGATCATAAAACCTTGAGTTACTTCTGAGGAGAGAAGAACGTCCGTGGCCTCCGGGTCTAGACAGGCTGATAGGAGGTTAGGACATTCCAGTATCCCTGAGGGGATGGCCACGAGACCCGTGTGAAAACCCTGGGTAAACCCTGTAATTAGAAACTCCACCAGATGTTTACTTGGGTGATCTTTCAGGTAAAAAACCAGGTTGTCGATATTAACATCGGTTAGTCATTTGTTGGGTGACAACCTGGCCGGACACATGGTCTTAGTGTGTGCCCTGAAACAGATGGAGCAGATGTGCAACAATCTACAAGCGCTGAAGCTGCAGGAACCCGCATTGAAGTTGTTGCACACCTGTGCCTTCCCCAAAAAGGAGATGGGCCTCCCTAGTTTATCCCTCTGTCCGCCTTCCTGTTTAGGGTGAGGAGTGGAAGAGGATTGAGGGGTGGGAGTGGGGGTGGGTGGGTCAGCCATAGAAGGGCACAGATCAGCCAAGTGGGTTGAGGAATTGCATATGGCGCAAGACGGGGGCCTCAGACCAGCGAAGTGGCGACAGAATAGTTCTGTATCCATCTGACACCAGTTAATTCTTACATTGAACTGTTTCAGATGGGTCGCCGCTTTCGCTGATATCGATTTGTGATAATCATAAAAAGATGAGCCCCCGTACTTAACACCCAAATCCACCACTTTATGGAGGTAGAGGTCCAGTTCCTCTCTCCTGTGGGGATATACCGAGCAGATGACATCCCGGTATATCCCGAAGGCCAACACGAAATTGGGAATTGACAACTTCTTGTTTAGCCTAGGATCTCTGGTTTTAAGAACCACTGAGATATCGCCAAAATTGTAAGCCCTGTTCTCCAGTACGTCTTGGGAGGCAATAAGTAATGACACCAGACACACATCCTTCCCATCTAGGATTTCCTTCCTAATGGAGTCTGGGACGGAGTGTGCTGGTGACACGAAAGGCGACATGACTGGAGCAGGAGCTGGAGGGGGAAGTGTAGGGACGGGTGTTGGTGCCATAGGTACAGCCGGGATTGGGGCTATAGAAACAGGAAGGTTACCTGGGGAGGCTATGGCACTTTCCACCTTGCTTAACCTGCTGTTTAAGGTCTGCAGGTTGGCCAGGAATGCCGCAAGGGTGTCCTGGGTGGCAATGCCAGCGCCAGAAGCTTGACTTTGAGAGCTTGTGCCTGGCCTAGGCTCTGGGGCTTGGTTGGTCAACAGTCTGTATAATTCCGCCTTTCGGGCCGTAGCCGGAAAGGGGATGCCCCTGAGCCTAAGTTCGGCCGTGATTTTTGGTATAGTCCATGCTCTCAAAGACGTAGGGGTAGAAGGGGCGAGAGATACTCCTGGGGACTCTGGTCTGATAGGAGTAGATATTATATCCTCATCAGGTACCTCGACCATTGGAGATGTGTCTTGTGACATTCTAGAATGAAGTAAATGAGTTGGGTTAAGTAGGGGCATCTGAGAAACTATTTCAAAAAGGGGGGGGGGTGTGGGGAATTGCTTATGTGAACTGGACTGTAGGATTAATGCCGAAGCGAAAAACGTAACTTTAGACTAGTGACGGTGAGGCCCTGCTAGTGCCAAGTGGCGGTGAGAGGCTCTATCTATGATTTGGGCGAAGTTGATTATGTTGCCACAGATGTGGTGGCGGGATATTGGCCTCTCGGTGACATTTTAAAAGGTTCAAACGTGTGGCCGTGACGAGTGAGGCCCTAACTACGGCCCTGTAGAAGGGCGAATGAGGCGATTAACTATGATTTGGGCGTGGGGCCATACCTCCGTGTTGAGGTTTGGGAGATGGTTTGTAAATGCCTCGGTGAGCTAGGTCTGGCGTACAGACCCCGTAAGCCAGTTCACGTAACGACTATGGGATAATAGGCGTTTTATGTGATGGTCGGATACTAACCTTGATAGAGATTATATTCGTGGACTAGTTTCTTCAAGTATATGAAAGAGAGGTCCAGTGGTTGGTGATGTCGTAGCAGAAGCCTAAGGGGTTTGAGACAGATGTAGATCTGCGTGAGCGTGGCGAATGTGCGCAATATGAGTTAAAGGGGGGCGTGGATGGGTAAACAAGTGGCAAAAAGGACCGTGAAGGCTGACTGCGGCCTTTACATGGGAAACTGAAGTAATGTACTGAAGGTTAAAGAAAACTATACCTGGATAAGGTACAAATAGCAAGGTTTTTTCTCCGATTTGTTGATGCTATTGTAGTAGAACCTAAAGGTTTGAGACAGATGTAGATCTGAGTAGCGTAACGTATGAGCGGAGAGTGAGTTCACGAATGTAAATTGTTGTCTGCCCGAGTTTCCTCAAACAGGAATTAAAGTAAAATAAATACTATACCTGGAATAAAGGACAAGAATCAGGTTTTTTAAATATAGAAACGAGCAGAACGGTTGGTGCAAGCGTAGAATTGAACCTGGATTTTTTTAAGGATAAGAACCCGGTTTTTATTGCAATTAAGCCGTAATATGGCAAAGTGTGATCTGTGGAGATCAAAAGAGAATATTTAGCGGGGCTGAGATTAATTTGTACGTTTAAGGCATGGTATAACATTGTGTGATAAGTCATTTAGCTGCAGGGAAGCTGCATATTATACAGAATAAAACAGTGAGTACCATAAAAACCCACTAGGTGGCGATGACAGCCCAATAAACTAGGTCTGTGAACTGGTACATAAAATATATGGAAAAGTATGAATGAACGTCATGTGATACATATGTCATGCATAATATGGTGAAAACTGGCAAGCCTTTCTTTTCCCATACAATAAACAGCATAGCCTCTTATAGCAGCATGAGTTTGGAGCAAAATATATATACTCCTAGCAACAAATAACGATTTTGGATTTAAGACCGTGAGTGGGTGAGGGGGGGGGGTGTAAGACCCCCCAGACGGGTGTATGAAAGAGACCGAGTAGATGCTGGCGTGAGGGGAACGTGGTTAGTCCCCGGTAAGATTCCCCTGTCATTAGTGTTCCGGCCCCCCGCTGAACCACAGAGCGATGTGGAGGGGACCGGAATTAAAGGACTCACGGTTGGGAAGCAGGACCGCCGAACGCACGGAGGGTTCTGCCGGGCACTGGGGATACAGCAGCACTGGAGATACAGCAGGACCGCCGGTAGCACTGAGGGTTCTGCCGGGCACTGGAAGTGCAGCAGGACCGCCGGTAGCACGGAGGATTCAGCCGTGCAGCTGATACACGAGACGCCCGGACCGGAAATGACGTAAACGTAAAGACTCGCGAACCGGAAGTAGAATAGGGATCACTTGAACTCGAACGTCAGAGGTGAGTAGGGGCTGGGTGTTTAAGTAGGGGACTTACTCCTCCCACAAATTCAGGCCTAATGGCCTTTTAACATATAGACGGATAATTACAATAATATATAAATAAAATAAATAAATAAAATATTGAAACAAAATTTTATATAAATTGTATATTCATATGTGATTTCATTCTAACTGTATTTTGTTATTAATATATATATATCTAACAAAATACACTTAGAATGACATTCTATATATATATATATCTATATATAAAATACAAATAACCACAAATATATATATATATATATATATATATATATATATAGATATTGATGGAACAGTTGTATATCTTTGACTGTCTAGGTTCAGCCTCTTTAATATCCTTAAGTTGGTTTTTATTTTTAATATCCACAAATCTGGTCCGGTAATATTAATTTAGGACGTCCTCTGGTGATAATAGAGGATTACTGAGTTATTCTTTATGAAGGTTTAACACAGTCTAGGAATTGTAGATTGTTGATATGTGTATTTCAAAGATTCAGTGTTCCTTTTTTTGATTTTGATTTCTTATGACGGGATACGTCCTGTCTATCTTTAGATTTTTATGTAGGAGATCCCTTTGCAGCTCTATATTACGCTGTTATGGGAGCAACTATTTATGGGATCTCTTTCTAGTCATAGATTATGCTAGAATAGGATTCACAATGTAAATGATTATATACACATTATGCATAGCATTAGGATTATGACCTAACATTGCCTTTCTTTTTGGCCAAGAATTGGTGGTTATTCCAGCATTGGACTGGTTAGTAAAATGTTTTGGGTATTATTTTTTAGTAGATCTATGGTTTTTCAGTGGGTATATTATGATGCAAAGATTTGGTGATCAGTCTTTGTTTAGTGTGCTAGTTCCACTAGGATAGTCTGTTTAGACATATTTCATGTAAGGGAGTTATTTGTGTTTTTTTTTTTTTTTATATATTTATTTTCATCTTTTTAATTCTATTTTAT